CCCAGCCCCCCCTGCTCTAACCACCAGTCCCCCTCCCCTCCCAGCGCTGCAGAGAGAACCCAGGTGTCCTGGCTCCCAGCCCCCCTCTGCTCTAACCCACCAGCCCCCACTCCCCTCCCAGAGCCTGGGAGAGAACCCAGGAGTCCTGGCTCCCGAGGAAGGCTGGCAGGGCTCCAGCTCCCCAGCTCCGTGGGCGGTGCCCGGGTCCCCAGCCAGGCCTTTGCCCCGCACACGCCGCGCTGCCCTGTGCCCGGTTCCACGGCCGCTCTCTGGCTGCTGGGCTGAGTCACGGGAAAGTCCCTCGGTGCCCGGCTGGAGCTGGCACCGCGCCCGGCTCGCTGCGCGAGGCCCCACCCCCCCCTGCGGGCCGCCCCCCCCCCCCGCCGGGATCTCGGCCGGTTTCCGAGAAATCACCCGGGCGCGGGGGGCCGGTTGGAGCCGGTCATGAGGGCGGAAGGAGCGTGACCCCGTGACCCCCGCTGGGGGGGACCAAATAGCCAGGGGCGGCTCTAGCTATTCCGACACCCCAAGCACGGCAGGCAGGCAGCCTTTGGCAGCAAGCCTGCGGGAGGTCCTCCGGTCCCACGGCTTCGGCGTACCCGCCGCTGAATTGCACAGCGACCGGCGGACCTCCCGCAGGCGTGCCGCCGAAGGCTGCCTGACTGCCGCCCTCGGAGGGACCGGCAGAGCGCACCCCGTGGCTTGCCACCCCAGGCATGTGATTCGAGCACTGGTGCCTGGAGCCGCCCCTGCAAATAGCCCAAGTTTATAGGGACAGGCCGGCGATTCGGGGCTTTGTCTGACCCTATCGCCCTGCCCCCAGCCCGAGTTTTCACACCTGCTGTCTGGTCACCTGCCTCCTGCCTGCCAGCGACCCACACGACCCACTGCGGGGTGATCCTATCGGAGCACCTGGGCCGGAGAGACAGAGCGCCCCACACTGCCCAGCAGGGGCCATGCAGCACAGACCCCACCTCACCCCTAGTGTGCTACCTGCCCGCAGGGAACCCCGGCCCCTCGCCCCACCCACACACCCGGCCTGTTCCCTGGGCTATGCACCCTATTTATCTCTGCTGTAAACGTAGCTGGCTGGTGTGGGGCACTGGTGGCGGGGGGGAGACCGGGCTAGAGGGGCCTGGTTATTGGGGCTGAAGGGGTGAGGGATACTGGGGGAGATGGGCCCATGGGTGTGACCTGGGGCAGCAGGGAAGGGGAGGCTGAACGAGACGGACCCATTTTCCAGTGGGTGTCTGGGGGGTGGAGGTGGGGGGTGTATCAGACTGGATGGGCCCCTGGGTTTGACCCAGGGCAGGTGGGGGATACCGGGGCAGATGGGCCCCTGGGTCTGACCCAGGGCAGCAGGGCAGG